TTTCCAACACACTACTTTGATTATTAATATACTCCCTCCATCCCTTTTTAGTTTGCCAAACACAAATTTTCAAGTCAAACTTGTTCAACTTTGACCGATTATATAATAAAAGAATTATATGAAAATTTTCTTTGTTGAAAATACTATCATAAAAGTATAAATTTATTAACTTTTGCATAAATATATTAGTTAAAATAATGGATCCAAGTTTATCATCTTTGACTGGAAAAGTCAAAGTTGGCAAACTAAAAAGGGACGAAGATAGTATATAATTTGTTGTAACTAAAAAAAATGAGATTTTTGGAAATTTAAATTGGGACAAATGAAACAATTTTTCCAAAAATGTCTTATACATTAGTAAATATAATATGACCAAGGTAGGACATGTGGTTAGTGTAAAAATTAACATGTTTAGTATATATTGATTTTGTATCATTTTATTCTAATAAATGGAATCACAAGAGCACGTTGAGGTCTAAAATTTTGTAGAAAATGCACGGTGCTAGTAATTATTATAAATATTATTAGTCATATATATTAGATAAACTCATAAACTTGATCCGTGTCTTCTACTATTAAAGCGAAATTCAACTCATCATTTCATGATTTCATATTCCCATAAATATTGTCACAATACCTACAATATTCATTAAGGAAGTGTGAAGGCAAAATTGTTGCATGTTGCGTCTTTGATGGTATGGGATGAAGCTATGCTGATACATGAGGCGTGTTCTAAGATTTTAGACGTTACACCAAGAAAAACATGCTATCGGGGATCGATGGTATAATTGAGCTACCCCATAACCTGATGGATGAAATATTTGACAACATTTTTCATTTTTCTCTCTGTAACAATACATACATACTAAAAAAACGAGACTTTAAAAAATGAGCGAATTTAATAATATTAAAATTGACTGAATCAGTTGAAGTGATTCAATCTGCTAAGTTATGGAAAAATATATTAAAATTGTACTTCTTTTGTCATTATTAAAAATGAAAAAAATCTAAGAAAAGTTATTAAGATGGTCCACTGTAGTTACTTTTGTCAATTCAGTCAAAAAAATAGCTTCAACCACAATTATTTTGATTATTATACCATTATCGTACAAAATGAAAACTTACGTGTCTGGTGAATATCAACACCCTAGCATTAGTCATAATAAATTATAGAACTAGTCAAAACTTAGAGTTTGTTTTTCAAAAATATTATTATAATGAAAAGGAGTATGGCTAATAGTTGCTACTCCGTATAAAATATTGTCATGTCATTTAAGTTTAAAAGTTGAACATAAGTTGTTATGGCTAAGTTACTACTATAATCACTAGTCACATTTTTATAAATAATCTCTATTTTAGTTATTAATATGTAATTATGAGTATATTTTTATTCTTATTATAAAAGCATTTTAAAGTATGTTTTTAATTAAATATATACCGAATATATAGTATATATTTTACACTAATGTTTCAAAGGGGCCCACATTAGCATCATAGATACACCAAGACCATTTGCAATCAAGGAGTGAAAAGGATATTTGATCTATTCACCCCAATATTCCATACAAACTTGATATTGTAAGAGTGGGTAATAGGTCTATGGCAGCCTTGAGTGGGGAATTACCAACCCACTTTTCACTTCAGGAGAGAGAAAAGAAGAAGAAACATGTGGAGAGATGGGCAAAAAGTAGGTGATAGAGTTAATTAATGAAAAAAAATGAATAATTTTTAAAAGCGGTATAAATTTTTTATTTTTATTTCAATTTTTATATAAAACATATCAAATTTTGTATTTTTTTAATGATCTTTCATATGAGATCCATATAGCATATATAAAAGTAATGATTTAATTAGAGAAATTATGTTAGCTTAGGTGGATATATTGACGATATTGGATTGCAGAGAAAAATAAAATTGACAGAGTGAATACGTAATGTCGGTATAAAATGATTGAAAATTTATATTATTGATGGAGGGTGGTTGCGGATAGTGTTTTGTACCTTGAATGTTACAAAACCAGTGTTACTATTTTGACGACGAATCTGGCTAGCTAGTGTGCTTGGGCATTACGAGTGTCATTATACAATAGAATGTAAAGAAGGATTTGTTCTTTGATTCTTTTTGTAAAATGTAAACTAATAACATTAACATCAAATTTTATTACAAATCACTTTCATTGCAAATTACTTCCATGTTAAAGGTGACATGACATACATGATACGGAGTAAATCTGAACAAACAAGGCGTAACATCACTTTGTTGAATTATGGAAAAAATATACAATATATTTTAGGGAAAAATAATTAAAATACCCCAAACTTTGAAGGGGTGTGGGGTAAGCACCCCAAACTAGCATATGTAATTTAAATACCCCAAACTTTATATAAAAAGTTATTTTAGCACCATGGTCATATATTATTTCTTTAAAAAATGTTAGTTTTTGGTGTTAATTTCATAAATTAAAATATTTTAGCATTCATGAAGATACAATTGACTTTGTAAATTTCCATTATAAAATAAATAATATTACCCTTACTCTATATAATTGCATCATTTTTAATTTGCTATTTTAAATCATGCAATTAACACCATAAATCTACATTTTTGAAAGAAATAATATATGGCCATGGTGCTAAAATAACTTTTATATAAAGTTTGGGGTATTTAAATTACATATGAAAGTTTGGGGTGTTTATCTCACACTTTTTCAAAGTTTGGGGTATTTTAATTATTTTTCCCTATATTTTATTAATAAAATAAAGAAAAAATTATATGAAAATAGCTAAAATGATCTTCTACAGCAGTTTGAGTGAATCAAGTCACAAAAGTAACTCTAATCTTACTATTTTGATAATTACACAACTCAACGTGTGAAATTAAAAATTACATACTTAGTGAAAAAGTGTACCGATAAACCGAAGAACAAGGTCACCGAACAGACTCGGAATTTCAAAAAATCGATCAGTCATTCCCTCATAATCATGTGTATAAGGAAATATACTACGTATAAATGTTGTTTAGGCTATAGTAATCCGTATAAAAATTGATACACATTCAAGAATACGGAGTATAACGTTTGCGTAATTGCGTTCAGGTTCATATGCATATGCGGATGAACACATTTCCGCTTGCAAACATAAACTCAGATCAGAACCAGACGTTCTACGGTTCTACGATCTAAAGAAAAAAAATCACAACTGAATAGTGGATACATAAATTAAAGTTAGAACTAGAAAAAACAAAGTCATGATTCTAGAGAAGCAAAAACATAAGATATTTGACATGAATTGATCCATGATTTCGTGTCAAATAGCTCGTGCTGAAATGTGTTTGTCACGAATTTAGTTAGTACGAAGTATATTTCTGTCAAATCCTGTATGAATTTTGATGAATCTCTCTCAAAAATCACTGTCAATCTCGTGTTTTGTTTGTATTGAACATGGGAGAATTAGGTAGCTACTAGCAAGACCGTCTAATGAATTTAGAGGTCCCGGTTCCAAATGGCTGATGGGCCCCTCTAAAACAAGAAAGCATACAAAGTTTAACAATGAAATGCAAATAGACTAGACAGATTGATTAATATAAGTTTTATAATGTTTAAAGTACACAAATTAGACAATCTAAAAGTTCTACACCTTTTAAAATCTGGAATAATACATAACATTCAAACAAATAAACATATGACTACTACTGCATACTAAATTTTTGGACGCCCATTATAAAAGTGGGTCCCGATGTCAAGCATCTATATTGCACCTCCTAAAAAACTGCGCTCTTAGCTTAGACATAGACATGTATGTCGAGAACAACCAGGAAGAGAAGGAGAAGCAAAGTGTAGATGACAGTATGCACAACCATAGAGAGAAAGCTGGTCCTCATGTTCAGGAATTCCACAGGGCAGCTCCTTCCCGGAATCTGGAACATTAATCCCGGCGACAGAAACGCAAACAGCGCCGTCGCTATGATCACCCCCCACCAATCCTTCATCCCGCCGGCCGGCCTTTAATTTCCCGACGATTCCCACCCAAAGATATATATGTTCTTAATAATCACTAGCTACTACGATTCTGGCTTCAAGGAGAAAACAATGCCATGGCCTGGAGATATATATGAGGGAAATTAAAAGGCCATAGAATCCGATGCCTTCAGTTATCCTTTGAATATATCGCACGTTCAGGATTAAGTGCGCCACTTTTTATTATTTAAACAAATCATCATATCCACATGTTTGTCTAATTTTCTTTTTTAATTTGTCCCCCATTATTGTGTGCATGTGTCTTTGTATGCATTGTTTTTTCTACTACGTACACTGTGTTTTTTGTTTTATTCGAATTTAATAGTGAAGGGTCATATATGAAGCTCTACGTGTTTGAATGGTTTGATATGCTAGATTGACTACTAAAAACTTCAATAAAAAAAACGAATAAAAATGGGTGTTGCCCTATGTGTGAAAACATGACATTTCTAAATAGGAGTATTATGTTTATAGGTAAAATACAAGTCATTTTGCTTGAAAAATATGTTCAATTATGTCATTAATAGTCATATATATGACTATTAATTTACACTACTAGAATGAGTGTAATTAAGAAGGAAACATTTTTTTATGTAAATATGGTATTTTCCTTTCTAAATGGGTTAGCTACAAATTTAAATAGGACTTGTGTCTCCTCTATAAAACCTCCCTCGGTAATCCAGAATTCCTCTCTGCATTCCTTTCTAGCATATGAAGTGATGAAAAATATTTAATATTAGAAAGGACGGTAGTTCCTTTTAACTCTTCCTCCTCATTTATATAGAGAGGAACCTGGTTCCATTCTAAAAAAAAAGGTGGGGGCGGTGGGGCATAAAGAATAAACCAAGCAAGGAACCAAATTCCTCTCCAATTATTTTGTTAATTACGTATATATATACACTCTGTAAACTAGAAAGGAACTATGTTCCTCTCAATTCAATTCGAAAATTCATGTATATATACCTGTAAACAAAATATATTTTTTAAATACGAACCATATTCATATAAATACTAAACCGTATAAATAAACATCAAACATTCCATTGAAATAGATTAGAAGTCCTTCAAGACATATATTATTCTGCATCACAAGTCAATTAAAAGATACTTGATAAAATTCAAAAATACAATTCCTTAAAAGGATTACAAAGTCACTGAATGAGATCATGTTCCACATCCATTTTCACCCCGGTTTGAACGAGTGTAGCTGTTATTGAAGATTGGTGAAGGTTGGGGCATCAACATGCTCATAAAAGATCCCGCTTGGGGTTGTTGTGGAGAAATATTTATGTAAGCACTTTGTTGATGGTGTGGAAGAGAACCCATAAAAGTACCTTGTTGCATATTTTGCCTTGGGAGCACATTCATATATGAAACTTGTTGCAATGGTTGTGTCATTTTCATAGACTGAATAATGCCTTGCATTTCTGCTAGTGTAACAGATGCAGATTCTTTAAACTGCACAAGTTCTTTATTAGTTTCTAAAAGAACACTATTGGACTTCTCAACCTCTTCCAGACGTTGTTGAAGTAATTTGTCCTCGTATGATTGTTCTTGAATTTCTGAGAAGTAGAGGCTGAAGGAAAGAAATAGACACTAGCTGAGGCAAAACCAGTAACTTTTCCTCCTTTCTTTCGGCCACCAGCAGCCTTCAACAATAGATCTTGAGACTTGGCATTCGGCTCCTTTGACTTTAGTTCTTCATATGAGTCCTATTAAAAGTAGAATTTCCGGGCAGAATAAGAGAAATTTAATTCACCTTTTTACGATTTTAATTTGATGAAAGGGAGTTAGTACATTAAAAATTAAACTAATTCATTAAATTATACTCACATAAATTTTTTTAGCTTTTGGTGTAACAAATGTACCGTCTGCTTTTGTATGTGTTTGCAGATATACTATTTCCGGGGGTGCTGTCTGGTTATGCTTTTCTTCCTGCGAACATTAGCACTATGTGTGTAATTAAAGGGTTACTAAAATATTAAAGCAGTAAAAAGTGCAATTATAAAATATACATGCTTACATATCTTCGGCAGTACTCTGTAATGGGTATAGATCCTCCAGTGTGCAATGCCATGCCCACATCAGAGTTCCTATTTTTTTTATTAGTATTGCATTTGCTAATGAATTTTGCATCCCTCCATTGCTCAAGTAGCTGAACCCATATTGGAAGAATAATCCATTCTGGACATTGCTTTGTCTTTCGAGCACTAGATAGTGCACGTGATAAACCTTCCGATCCTTTCTTGTTGAAATTCTTTGTAATGCGTGAATGATATTCCGGCCTCCAATAATACTTCTCCTACAAATTTAATTACACAAGACCACAATTTTGTAACATAAAGTAATAAAACAATGTATAACAAGTTATTGAAAATACATGCATCACCTTCCTGTTTTAGTGTACATTGAGTTCATTGAAAGAAAAGTTAGCAAGTTAGCAAATTGAATATGGCAGTTACTAGTTTCTATAATGAAGAAAAATAATTCAGTAGATATTACATTGAATAAACTCAACCAAGCTTTCTTCAATCCTGGTGAAGCACGTGTATAAGAGCGAATCGGTTCATCAAACTTCTTCGTAATACACGGCATGACAAAACGATTTGCCTTGCATGGAATAAAACTGCAAACATTCACTAAGTTATAAACATATATAGAAGAAATATTTTAATCATTTACAAAAAAATGGATATAACTATGACTACCTATTAATTCTTAATTGAGGTACCAGATTAAGTTTGATTGAGTGCAATAGAAGATAGTTTAATACTTAAGTTACCCAAAAATGCCGCCAGGAATAATCTCCATCTTAGGTTCTTGGTTTACAAGGGGAGATAGTGGTGGAGTAGATGGGGTAACCAGGGTAGTAGAATCATCTGAGCTGGTTGGTGCATTTTGAGATGGACATGAAGTAGAAGAGCTTGGATCTCGTGGTTGATAACGATTTTGAGCATTGATTACTGCAGGTGGGTAAGTGATGATTCGTGATATGTTTCCATTCTGAATCTCACGATTAATACGCACCATCTGTGGTTCAAAAATCAATATAATTCTAGGCACAATTACTAATGCTTTACAAGTCAAATTATACAGGCAGACATTAGTCTATACTGTCTAGTACGTAGATATTAGTTTAAAATGTCTAATACAGGATTTTCACGTTTGGCACTTTGAACTGTTGCTATCCCAAGACTGAACCTGCCTTTTTCATTTGGAGAAGCTAGAGTTTGGAAGCCAATGGATATTAGTAATAATTTTTCTGTGCTACTGCAGGCCACAGGGGCTCAAGAGCAGCGGAGTATTTAAAGAAAAATCATTTTGAGATATTCAGTAAAGCCAACCTGATATGGGCATGACAGTTTCCCAGCAGTTTGCCAACCTGATAACATCCCATATGCGGGAAAATCACTTATTGTCCACATTAAAGCTGCTTTCAATACAAAGTTGTGCTTTAAGGATACATCATAAGTGACAACACCTGTTTCCCACAAACACTTCAACTCATCAATCAATGGTTGTAAGTACACATCTATTTTAGTCTTTGGGTTATGCTTACCGGGAATAATAGAAGTCAAAAACATATAAGGAGTCGTCATACACATTGAGGGTGGCAAGTTGTACACTGTAACAATAATGGGCCAACATGAATATGATTTGGCAGACATACCAAATGGAGAGAAGCCATCTGAACAAATTCCAAGTCTAACATTGCGTGGTTTTGAAGCAAATTGAGGGTACATTTGATCAAAGTGTTTCCATGCCTCACCATCTGATGGGTGACACATAACACCGGGCTCACGTTGATTTTCAAAATGCCACCTCATATGTTTAGCAGAACTCGGTGATGCGAATAACCATTGTAACCTCGGAATAAGTGGTAAGTAGTGCATCCTTTTTCGAGGAACTTTTGAATTTGGCTTATTACTTTTTTTGAAGCGTGGCTCAAAACAAAATTTGCATTGTGCCAATGCAATATCCTCCTTATAATACAACATGCATCCATTCACACAACAATCAATTTTTTCATGACCAAGACCGAGTTTAGAGACCAATTTTTCAGCTTCATAGAAACTAGATGGCACCTTATTTGGTGATGGCATTGCTCGATTGCAAGCATCGAATATCTCATCCATTGCTTTTTGTGCAATGTTATAGGATGACTTAATACTCATCATCTTAAGGGTAAAAGATAATTCAGTATCTGCTGTACATCCTGACCACAACGGTTGTTGAGCAGAATCCAATAACTCGTAAAATTGTTTGGCACTATCATGTGGGCCCTCAATGTCTCGATTAAGATAACTAGGTTCTTGGTTCAATCCAAAATTATCATAAATCATTGTTTCATACATGTCATCTCCATCCACATGGTTGTGAGATGTATCATCAAAATTTACACTGGATTGTAAAACCTCTTCACCATGGTAAATCCAACACCAATAGTTTGACTCAAAACCCCATTTGTAAAGGTGAAGTTTTACATCTCCTGGATTTTTATAACGGCGATTCCTACATTTTGTACAAGGACATTTAATAACATTGTTCTCAACAAAAGTTGGTTGTACACACGCGAAATCCACAAAATTATCCACTCCAGCTTTAAATTCATCTCTTAACCCTTTCCGACCGGGATTCACTCGTTTATACATCCAACGACGTTCATTTCTATAATCCATTGTTATCCTGAAATTTGGGGGAAAATCTTTATTGTTCGGTCTTGACATTATTGTTATAGACCAAATATTAATTACACAATAATAATTTTCTCCACAAAATGAAACGATATTAACTTGTCCAAATACATATACACATACTTTACTCATTTGATACCAAGAATGTTTTTAATTGGACTAAGAGCCCGTTTGGTAACACTGTTGTTCAGCTTATCAGGCTTTTCAACCATTGTTTTGCCAAACACGTAACTTTTGATTTCGCGCACTGAATGTGTAATAATAAGGGGAAAAAGGTTGAATTTACTTTACTGAATGTTTTGGTAGAAGTTACTGTAGAGGATCATTTTAGCTATTTTTACATATAATTTTTTCTTTATTTCATTAATAAAATATATTTTAAATTTAATTTTTTCATAGATCAGCAGAATCAACCAATACAACCACTTAAGACAGAACTTCATAAATTTTACCATGATCATCCGATTCAATTGATTTCAGTGTTACGAGACGGGCTCTAAAACTTTCTGGTTTGGTTTGATCAAGTCTAATCTGGTATGGTCTAGTATGATTTAGTTTGGTCTAGTCTGAACTGGTCTGGTCTGCAATATGTCTGATCCTTGAGTATTTATAATTGCAGAAGTATGGTTTGAGATGATCTTCTATTTTTAAGTATGATCTGGTGTGATTTGCTCTATTTAAGTATAGTCTAATTCACTCTGAGACTGAATTAAATCTAAGTAAAACATCCTCATACTAATAATACTGTTGATGGCACCGCTGCTCAGACTTACGTAGTACTATCCTCCGTCTCTTTTTAATCGCAACATGTTGAATTTTACACTATTCACATATACTACTTTGACTACATTTTATATTATTATTTATGAAAATTATTTTTTAAAAAAGATATTGTTCAATTCATCTCATTACAAATTTTCAAAATCTAATTTTTAAATATCTTATACTAATAGAGATTAAGATATAATTACGGTCAAAGACGTGTTTTGGCAAGTGTGAAATGTTGACCGTTGCAACTAAAAAAGAACGGAGGAAGTATTATTTACCAAATAAATTTTTATTATTTTAATGTACATAGTACTGTATGAATAACTATACAATAATATACGAGATGAAACAATTTATAAAGTATCGACAACTTATAAAGTATCAACATTAAAATATACTCCCAATTTAAATGGCCGATAGAAACAATTTATATATACGAAGTACTTGTCTATATAAAGTATCAACAATTTAACAAAGCTGCCATTAAACAAAATTGTTTTAATAAAATACGAACTTTGAAGTAATAAAATTAGAGACATACCTTATCCTCCTAAAATGTAACTCTGAATACAGCTACAAATTAAATAAAGAAATTTGCTCTGCATTGTAAATACTCCAGAGAGAATAAGAATGATACTCCGGAGAGGCGTATATAATTGTGTTGAGATGAAACAAAAAAAATGAATGGAGGAAAGAGATTATAAAGAAGTGCCCCGGAGGATAAAATTTAGTAAAAACGGACCGACGTAGTGGCATAAGTTGGTAAAATGAATTAATACATGGTTGAGAAAATTAAAACACTGCCTGCAGGATTCAATGCACTGCTCAGCTATTTATTAGGGAGTATTTTTGAATATTCAATGCATAGCTCAGCTGACCTGTTTTTTATTTTAAGAAACAGAGAGGAACTTAATTCCTTTCAAATCCTATTCAATTTTAGATACGGTGGTATAGACCTTAGAGAGTGAAGAGAATGATTCTTCTTGTATGTTGATAAGATGAGACGAGCTCATATATATATATACAATTACAGTGGAGTAAAACTAGCTATCTACGTAACAACCTAATAGGATAGAAATTGATAACAACTAGTTACAGATAACTACAACATTAATGTATGTGCGGATGATACATAATAATAAATATATAAATTATGCTTTAATACGCCCCCGCAAGATGGGGGTGCCGTCAGAAACTCCCAGCTTGGACCGGAAGAAAAAGAATGGTGAGCGACCCAATGGTTTGGTCAAGACATCGGCGATTTGTAACTTGGTAGAGATGTGTTGTACATTCAATTTTCCCTGTTCAATAAGATCCCGGACAAAAAAATAATCCAAAGCAAGGTGTTTCATGCGGGAGTGAAAAACACGATTAATACAAACGTACGTAGCACCAAGGTTGTCACAATAGAGGGTTGGTGTCGTTGGAATAGCTATGCCAAGTTCAGAGAGAAGGTGACGCACCCATAGTAGTTCCGCACTAGCATGAGCAACGGCCCGATATTCCGCCTCAGTGGAGGAGCGGGCCACACACTTTTGTTTAGCAGATTTCCAGGAGATGATATTTGACCCAAGGTAGAGCACATAAGCGGTAGTTGATCGTCCTTGCTCATAAATATTTCCCCAGTCCGAGTCTGAAAACGCAGAGATATGCAAAGTGGCAGATCGGCGGAGAACTAAGCCATAGTCAAGAGTCCCTTTTAGATACCTCAATATACGTTTGATCGCCTGCCAGTGAACGAATTTAGGTTGATGCATGTATTGGGATAGTTTGTTGACCACAAAAGAGATATCCGGTCGGGTAAACGCCAAGTATTGGAGTAGGCCAAGTGACCTCCTGTATTGAGTGGCATCCGTGTTGGTATCATTTGATGTAGCATGCAACGGAATGGAGGTACTCATGGGGGTTTCAATTTCTTTAGCTCCCAGCATACGGCACTCCTCAAGCACATGAATAATATATTGACGTTGTGTGAGGAATAGTCCATCTGTATGAGGTATTACCTCAATCCCAAGAAAATGGTGCAAAGGACCCAAGTCTTTGACCGAAAAACGGGCAGTAAGCTGAGTCACAAATTTATCCAGAGCAGCTGTATTGTTACCTGTTAAAACAATATCATCGACATACACAAGAAAATATAGAATGACATCCCGGTGAGAATAGATAAAGAGCGATGTGTCAGCTCGAGATTTTTTAAATCCAACCGAGAGTAGAAACTTGGAAAGTTCCATGTACCAAGCACGGGGTGCCTGTTTCAAACCATATAAAGCTTTGCGTAGGCGGCAAATATAATTAGGATGAGTGGAATCAACAAACCCAGGTGGTTGCACCATAAAAACCACATCAGATAGGGTGCCATGGAGAAAAGCGTTGTTAACGTCAAGTTGACGCAGTGGCCATTTCCGTGTAAGGGCAATAGTAAGAATAATGCGTACTGTGGCAGGCTTAGTGACGGGGCTAAATGTTTCAAAGTAATCACGCCCTGGTTGCTGAAGATAGCCACGAGCTACAAGACGCGCTTTGAAACGCGCTATTGAACCATCAGGGTGTCGTTTTACCCGGAATAACCATTTGCATGAAATGGGCTTTTGAGTAGTATGAGGTACTAACTCCCAGGTACCATTACGCTGAAGGGCTGCAAATTCATCATCCATGGCTTGCTTCCACTTTGGGTCAAGTAGTGCTGCTTTCACACTGGTGGGTTCAAGTTGGGTGGGTATAGGGTGAGTAAGAGTATTATTTAGAAATAGGCCTCCAAAATATTTTGGATTAGGGTGGCGGGTACGTAAAGGTCGGGCAGAAGGCGGAATTGGTTGTGTGGGAGATGAGGTGGAAGGTGTGATTGCGGAATTGGCTGGGTGGGTTGTTATGGATGTAGACACGTGGGATGGAGGAGTAGGTTGGTGTGGAAATAATACTGGTGGAGGGCCGTTTGTGGAGGAGGGAGTAGTGGGTGCAGTAGATAAGGATGTAGTGGATGGATTAGTCAAAGTGTCAGGAACAATTTGTTGAGATAAAATGGGAGGCGGTGGGTTATTATGAGTGGGGATAGAATTTTGCATGGAAGGAGTGTGGGACCGAATTAGGGGGACTCTCGGCCGAACATAGGGGAGAGAAACACTTTGACTGGCTCATCCTTGGTTATCGGGTGAGAATGAGAAATCATGCATATTATGCATGGTAGCAGAAATAGACCCCGGCGTACGGAACGGAAAAATACCATGAATAAACCGAACATGCCGAGATACATAGACACGTCCGGAAATAGGTTCAAGACAAAGATAGGCAGATTGTGATGTGGAGTACCCAATAAAAATGCACGGCTGAGAACGGGGCTGAAGTTTGGTGGTAGAATAAGGACGTAACCACGGGTAGCATAGACAACCGAAGGGACGTAATTTATCGTAGTTCGGAGAGGCCTCAAATAATTTATGATATGGTGTAGTATGGTTGAGAACCGGTGTAGGGAGTCTATTTATTAAGTAGACCGCAGTTTGAAAAGCATAAGGCCAATATTTAATAGGCATACCAGAGTAATGAAGTAAAGCAAGGCCTGTGTCAACTATATGACGGTGTCTACGCTCAGCAATACCGTTATGTTCAGGAGTATGAGGTGGTGTGGTGAAATGAGATATACCATGACTAACGAGGTAGGGTTTAAGTTTGAGATATTCACCACCATTGTCACTAAATAATGAGATGATAGGACGTTGGAAGAATTTTTCCACTAATTTATGAAATTGTGGGAAAATGAGTGACACTTCAGATTTTAATTTGAGCGGATAAAGCCATATGTAACGGGAATAAAAATCCACAAATATTACATAATAACGATACCCAACACTTGAAACATCACTCGTACTCCACACATCAGAATAAATAAGCTCAAGTGGTTGTGTAGCATGCATAGTATTATTAAAGAACGGAAGTTTTGTACTTTTATTGATATGACACGAATTACAATGAGACACGCCCGTGTCATGACAAGAAATTGGAATATTATTTTGATGAACTAAGCACTTAAATATACGAGAAGACGGATGGCCAAACGTATGATGCCAAGCAGAGGAACCCAAGACTTGAGACACATGAACTTGCGGTGAAGGAAAAACTGGTGCATAGTAAACATCATGATGATTCTCCCCTCGTAGTAGAGGCGCCCCCGTGATTCGGTCCTTGACAATAAAATGAGATTCAAAAAATTCAACGGATACATTGTTAGTGTGACACAATTTAGCAACTGACACAAGATTTTTATGAATGGCAGGGACACATAAAATATTGGATAAGGACAAAGGGCGTGTGGAAGTGGGTAGGGTGGTTTTACCGGTGTGAGTAATAGCAAGCGACTTACCATTTCCCAAGTGGACTTCATCTGGACCGCCATAATCAGTGTATGTCGGAAGTTGGGACGCATCAGAAGTTACATGGTGCGACGCACCACTGTCAAAAAGCCACGGCTGATGTCCAGGAGGCATGGCCGCAGTTGTATACTGGATATTAGGAACCGCTGGATATGGCACCTTATTATCTCGCAGAAATCGTTGCAGTTTACGACACGCCTGAACTTCATGGCCTAGGTTCTCACAAAATCGGCATATAAGATTTGAGGATGGACGAGAAGCAGAGGTATGCATGCCTCCATGTCCACGCCTGGGTCCAGTAGTTGGGCGCTTGTCATTAACTGTTGCAGGGCGGCGGTCAAATGGGATGTTTGACCTGGAATATGGCTGTGTAGCATTGATTGTGGGGACCAAGGTTGGAGCACTAGCAGCTTCTTCACGTATGCGTTCCTCACGTTCCAAGAGAATAGACTGGAGCTCAGAAAAAGGTAGGGGAGTCTCACGCACACGTATGGCAGATGTCAAATCGCCATACTCCGGACCTAGCCCATTTAAAATATGGACGAGTAGATCTTGATCTGAGACGGGATTTTGAGCAAGAGCGAGGTCATCTGCAATCGCCTGCATCTCCGTAAGGTAATCAGGAATGCTCCGGGAGCCCTTCTTGGTGTGGGACAGTGTAGTTTTGAGGGATATAATCCGGCCACGAGATGTACTCGCATAGGTGAGATCGAGTTTATCCCATGCGTGTTTGGCGGTGAGAGCAGATGAGATAACGGGTTGGATAGTATCCGAGCAGCTACCAAGTAGTGCACTGATAATGGTTTTGTCCTGTCGATACCAGATAGTATAACAGGGATTGATTTGTGTTTTGGCCGTATCAAGAAATTGATCCGGTGTAGTGATGGTCCCATCGATATAACCGTCAAGTCCCAATCCAATGAGAGCAGATTGGACTTGGCATTTCCACACAGGAAAGTTGGTGGCCGTGAGTTTGATGGGGAAGTGGTTGGTGGCCGTAAGAGTGATGACCTGGGTGGTGGCGGTGATTGCGCCGGCCATGGCAGAAACTAGAAAAAAAAATATAGATTTAATGTTCTCGTGAGAGGAAGGCTCTTGATACCATGAAGAGAATGATTCTTCTTGTATGTTGATAAGATGAGACGAGCTCATATATATACAATTACAGTGGAGTAAAACTAGCTATCTACGTAACAACCTAATAGGATAGAAATTGATAACAACTAGTTACAGATAACTACAACATTAATGTATGTGCGGATGATACATAATAATAAATATATAAATTATGCTTTAATAGAGAGGAACTCCATTCCTAGCTACAGGAATTATTATGGTATTGTTTTAAATTGTTTTAAATTATTAAATAGAGGAAGAGGAACCAATGTTCTAAAAGGCGCTAGGCGCTAGTCGGGCGCTAGCCCAACGCCTAGCGCCTAGGCGGCTAGGCGGGCGCCTAGTCGGGGACTAATCGGAGACATATAAATTGCATTTTTTCTAAGTTTTTGCATACATATGATAAGTAATATTGTATTCTTATGTGTATAAAATACATATACACACATACATATATAAATAATAAAATTTAGGTATATATACAAACATATATAGTCTTTATCTTAATTTACAACTTCATTTTTTATATCCGGGCTAAAGTTAAAGTACTTATATCACTTAGAAAACTAAAATTATAAAGTAAAGTAATGTTCGGTGAAAATTTAGATGACCTAGGTTGCTAATTAGCCGCTCTAGACGGGCAACTAGGCACCATAGGCGGCCGACTAATTCACTTAGACGGTTAACCAATTAGTCGGAGCGCCTAGGCGAAAATCGGGGCGCCCGACCACCGCCTAGCGCCTAGGCGGGGACTAGTCGGATGCCTAGAACGATTTTTAGAACAGAGAGAGGAACCAAATTTCCTTTCTAAATTGTTAAAGTTCCTTTCTAATCCAACTAAACAACGAATATGCTTAATTCCTAGCCAAGTTCCTATCTAAATTACATACGATTATATTTCCCTACCAATTTCCTCTCTATTTCAACATTTTCTAGTAGTGTATTAATGTTGGCTACGTTAATGAAAAAATGTAACACTATGATTCCAGATTGACACTAATTTACATATATTTCTGTGGAAAACAAATACGGAGTCTTTCGTACTTTTATTTTGGAACATTTCACTGAATTCACTTTTATTTCAGAAAATTTCCTTTCAAAAGAGTGCAAATAATCCATTTTAGGTCACATATGATTGTCCACATTCAAATTAACTACGTACTTTATCAAAATACGAAGTATTTAACTGTAGTCCCATTACTCCCATTATTACTATGCATATGGCCGGGCAAGCGGGCAAACTCTTGCTTGGTACCCAACCCAGTTCAGCAAAATATCTTTGTTTTGATCATTTTATGTGAAGATTTGTATTAAAAGTTGCCAACAATTCTTTCTTGGGCCATCTCAAGTAACTCCCTCTTCGACACACCACATTACTCAGCAATTCTTTCATAATACTGGCGTGACTCAGAGGCTGACCGTGGTAGAGATCCAGGAGAGCTACCGTCCTCCCAACAATTTTTTTTAGTGTATATATATACGAAAAATAATTTTTGTCCCCTCAAAAAATAATTTTCGCCCCCCAAAAAATATTTTGAGCCTCCCCAAGATAATTTCCTGGGGACCCCTCATCCAATCTTTTCAGCTTTGAATTTTAATGAATGACGACACAACCAGACGAAGTATTGAGAAGCATTAGAGTGCTACTCGTATATTAAGCTTCGGGCTACCCCTCCTAATAGGGTGACCTTTTAGGATGGAACCACGTGTCTTAACATGGTATCAGAGCCGATTCCGGTTATGGTTTGACGGCTTGTTTAGCACCCATGATTAAAGGTAACTTGCTAAGGGTTTGTTTGGCCTGATTATACACCAAGATATTATCCAGGCCGGTTCGGGCTGAGGGGGCATGTTAAAGCATTTGTCCCACACCGGAAAGTTATAAAACAATTAAACACTATATAAGGCCTTGGGCTACTCCTCCTATCAGGTTGACGTTTTAGGATGGAACACTGAGTCTTAACAAAGTAAATGTAGGAAACGAGAATTTGATTAGACGGACATATATATTGCGTTCAATTTGTTCTTGTTGGCCTCAACATTGACATTTTTGTTAATTAGAAGTGAATTAACAAATACTTCCTCTGTTCTTAAATAAATGCAACGGTCAACATTTCACACTGCCGAGACACAATTTTGACCATTAATATAAATGATTTTGTATTACAATACAAAAAAACACTCGTTTAGTCACGGACCGTAGTCACGGATTTGGTCCGTGACTAGCCTAGTCACGGACTAGTCACGGAATATTCACGAAAATTCAAAAAAAAAATTAGTCACGGATTTGACCGTGACTACAGCCGTGACTACGCGTAGTCACGGAAATGTGTCCGTGACTAACATCCTCCGATTGCCCGTTTGTTTTTCCGACCTGGCTTGTTTTACTCCGGCGACATAGTCACGGCCACATCCGTGACTACAGCCGTGACTAAATTTAAAAAATAATTTTTCATCTCCCATAAATCAATCCGCAACGGTATTATGTACGGATAAATTTAGTCACGGCCATGTCCAAGACTATGTCCGTGACTACTTTGATTAACACGTCATTTACATGTCATTAACACGGATCGGACGCGTAATGGACACGGTTTTGCTTAGTGACGGACAAATCCGTGACTAAGTCCGTGACTACATTTTTTATATATGCAGGAGCAGCTCATTCATTCAACAGAACCACACGAATTCATTCCCAGTATATACAGTATCTGTTTGAAAGATCGAAGGATGTAGTCTGTCTTCTATCATTTTCCCCATTTATGCAGTTAAGGTATGTTATTTGAATTATTATTTTTATTTAGAATTAGTTGGTTCAATTTAAATTATTAAAATTATTAAATTAGTGATGTTGTTAATTAATTAACAACATATTCAACTGTAAGCGTAGTAATGTCATAAAATTAGTTAAACTGTTAGGTTTATAAAATAATTTAATTAAGTCATATTCACGTAGAATTGTGTGCATTTCATTTAATTTAGTGAAAATTAGTTAGTTGATTATTTAGTGAAATAACTCACTTAAAATTTGTTAGTATTATTGTTAGTATTTGAACGTGTATACTTTTTTATTATAATATTCAGGCATAATGTATAAACAAAATAGAAGTTGGATGTATGATAAAGATGCGGTATTGTACGGAATGCAATCAAATTTTCTCGAGGGAGTTGGGGAATTTATTGAATTTGCACTTGAACATCCGGCTTATATGAGTGGTGATAAAATAAGATGTCCATGTTCAAAGTGTAAAAATCTCAAATTTAAAGACCCACACGAAGTTGGGTATGATTTGTACGCGGTCGGTTTTGTTCCCAATTATTATAATTGGACTTCTCACGGCGAACCTTTGGATCCATCTGTTATACCACAAACGGTAGGTTCGTCTCGTTACGTCCCTCCAGAGATGAGTGCGTGGGGAGACCGTGCTGAAATGAGGTGGGACCAACAAATGGTATATGACGCATACGGTGTACCGATGTCTCAGTTCAACCCCCCACAACCACCTAACGACCCCCCTGAAGCCTCAACCTCGTATCAACCAGATGCGGATGAAAATCCGACATTTTATCAACCTTATGTGGACGAAGGTTTGGCTGAGAGATTTCAGGATGTTCTAAAAGCTGCCGACCAACCTCTGTATGCTGATTGTGAGGGATACTCTCAGCTATCCGCCGTTACTGAATTCATGAACATAAAAGCCGAATACAGTCTCCCTGAAACTTGCATGAATAGAGTCTTGCAGTCAGTAGGAGGGATGCTACCGCGAGATCATACCCTTCCGGATTCATATTACCACATGAAGCAGTTAATGTCTAAGTTGGGGCTACCTTGTGTTGAAATTGATGCGTGCCCGGAAGGGTGTATGTTGTTCTGGAAGGAGGATGAGGCACTTGAGTTCTGCAAGTTCTGTGGTGGAGACAGATACAAACCTGTTCGTCAAGGTAAAAAGAAACCACGACATAGGTCTGCACTGTCTAAACTGTATTACCTCCCAATAGCTCCTCGACTGCAGAGGATGTACGCTTCGACTGCTACTGCGAAACACATGACATGGCATGTTGAGCACGAAACCAACGACGGTATGATGGCTCACCCTTCGGACTGTGAAGCCTGGAGACACTTTGACCGCTGTCATCCTCAGTTTGCTATGGAGCCACGAAATGTGCGGCTGGGATTGTGCTCAGATGGATTTGCTCCTTTTGGCAGGTTTGGCAAGAACTATTCATGTTGGCCGGTCATGTTAACTCCTTACAATCTCCCTCCCGACATGTGCATGAAAAGTCATTTCATATTTTTGTCTTTAATTTGTCCGGGTTCCAAGGATCCTGGGCGAAAGATAGACATTTATCTCCAACCCCTTATCGAGGAGATGAAAGAACTGTGGGCCGTTGGGACACCAACTTATGATGTTTCATCAGATAAAATGTTTATCATGAAAGCTGCCATCATTTGGACCATTAGCGACTTCCCTGCCTATGGCATGCTTTCGGGATGGAGCACACACGGTTTGATGGGATGTCCGATATGTATGGAGAAATCAGGTGCCAACTGGCTGAGTTACAGCAAAAAAGGAAGTTACTTTGATTGTCACCGCAAGTTTCTCCCGGAAAGGCACCGATATCGAAAGGACAAGAAGTCTTTCATTAGAGGCAGAGCGGTACGAGAGAGCCCACCCTCGAGATTGACCGGTGAAGAAATTTATAACCGGGTTCGACGTTTTCCTACGGCTATGGAAGAGCCAAACCAAGAGCCATATGGGTATTGTGATACCCATAAGTGGACAAAGAGGAGCATATTCTGGGAGTTGCCTTATTGGAAAGACCTTCTCATCCGTCACAATTTAGATGTCATGCACACTGAGAAGAACGTCTTTGACAATATATTTAACACGGTGATGGATTTGAAAGGCAAAACTAAAGACGGTCTTGCAGCTAGGAAAGATATGACTATTTGGTGTGATAGACCCGAACTTTCTGTTGATCTAGAATATCAGGG